CCCACCCTCCTCTCTGTCCAGCCGCAGAGTCCCCGCTCTGCTCACACCTGCTGCGCAGTGGAGGTTGCCCCGCCCCGGAGTGAAAGTGTCCTTGTCAAACCCTGCTGTGAGGGAGACTAAGATGCCTTTAACTCACCTGTTCCTGACTCACCTGACTCACCTGCTCCCGACTCACCTGCTCCTGACTCACCTGTTCTTGACTCACCTGCTCCTGACTCACCTGCTCCTGTCCCACTATATTCTATGGAGCCTCCGCAATGTGCAAAACAGTCCAGGTAGAAGAGAGATTGTTTTACCTTTGAAAATCATTTCCATTTGCTCTCGGGTGGGGTCTCTGTGACGGATGCGGATGGACTCGCGTCACCCAACGCCCAGAGAAGAAAACCCTCTTTCCTCATCCCCGACCTCACTGCTACAGGAGCGGGATGGACGCGCAGCCTGAAGGTCTGAGCAGGTTGGGGGACGCCGGAGCCTGGGCGACGCGGAGCAGAAGTCCAGGGAGAGGTTTTTGCAGGTGTTTCCTCAGCTGAGAGGGGAGCTGGAGGAGCGCATCGCTCAGCTCCATCAGCTCGCAGACTGGGTTGACGAGGCGCAGAAAGACACCCCCATCTCCAACGTGCCAGCCAGCTCCGCCGGCATCCTGTCTGTCCTCCTGGGGGTCGCTGGGGCACTTCTGGCACCCTTCACGGGGGGGCTCAGCACAGCACTGGCAGTCACGGGGGTGGGCCTGGGAGTCGGCTCTGTCGCCACCGGCACCGGCACGGCCACCGCAGAAAATGTGGTCGCGTCATCAGCAGAAGGAGAAGCCCGACAGCTGACATCCACTCGCAAGGTCATACTGGAGAAGGCCCAGAAAATTCTGGGTGATATCCCGCCCACCACTGATTCTCCCGCAGAAAGGGATGAAGACATGCAGTCGACGGCAGAGGCCAGGAAGAGCCAGGCGGTGCGCAGAGTCACTGGGAAGGTAATGGACGTCAACCTGATGATGACGGGCCTGTGGCCCGCCATGTGGTGCCCACGAGCAAGGGCCTCCGAGTCCTGAGTAGAGTCTTCAGCAGCTTGTCTTTCGGGCTGGACGTGGACAGCCTTGTGCAGGGGTCGGCGGACTTGGCCCAGGGCGGGAGGACGGAGCTGTCTGAGGAGCTGAGGCGGCAGGCGCGGGAGCTGGAGGGGATGTTGCAGGAGCTGAACCAGCCTGTGAGAGTCTGTGTTAGGGCCTGACCCACCTCCCTCCCTCCCCGGGCAGTTCAGGGAGCAGCGATCTGTGGGGACACAGAGTGGAGCCGTCTTGCTGAGGGACCAACAGAGACACATGAAGTTTCTGGACCTGGGGGTGAAGGATGGGGACCAAGTAAAGACAGTTCTGGAGTTTGTCCTGGTGGCAGATGTCTCCTCTGCTGCCGCCCCGCAGCGCCACCTGGAGGCTGGAGTCAGCAGAGCGATGGGGGGTTCACTGTGCAGAGCCCTGGGGTGAGGCGCCCAGGAGATGTCAGACGTGTCCTCGCGCAGCCCCCTCTCCACGCCCGCTGGTGAGGTGCAGAAAGGGAGAGAATGAGAGAACCACTTGCTGCCCTCGGGGGTCGGTCCTTCCACCTCCCCCGCACAGACAGCTCTGGCTGCACAGCTGAGGCCCGGGGATGGCTGGCTTTGAAATCACGTAGTGTCTGTCCTTCAGCAATGGACTAAGTTTGTTAGAAACCAGCCTCCTCTCCCGACTGAAAATATTGGAAATTGACTAGATCTCTCCTTACCTTTGTTGAATATTAATACGTGATTTCTCTGTGCACGTGGCTTAGTTACACAGTGAAGGTGCAGGACTCCAGGGGCAGAAACCAGCCTCTTGTGAAATGTGGTGCTGGGCTCTACCTCTGGGGTATTTTGGCTCTGAAACCTCCTCAATAAATTGCTCTTTTACTGTCATTGAGTTGCCTTGAAAATGTGCTGGAGACCAGAACCAGCTAGAAGTCGTGGCAGGGATCTCAGAAAGGAGAGGACGGAGTCGGTGAAGTGTTTTCTCCTTCTCGGAGGGCTGAGGGGAAATGGAGCGAGGTAGGAGTGAGGAAGACACAGACACCTTAGTTGGTGCAAGTATCTCCTGCTGAGGGTCTCAGCGGGTCTTTATACCTTAAGGTGAGCGGTGGGATTACCTCAGCGCAAGCATTGAGGCAGAACAGAAACAATCAATACATGTTTTCTCATGAACATGCAGAGACTCCCCAGGTCTCACACCTAAGGGCAATTCTCTGGTAACCTTCAGAAGGATTAGTTTTCTAGGTACAGCTCATTTGCTAACATGATCAATCCTGTGAGACAGCACGACATTTGGCAACAATTAAACTTTCTCAGTTACAAAGTGGGTGTAAAATTCCTGTTCTCTATTCAATTACTAAAATCAATCTATCTCCTAGCACCCAAGTAACTTGGTTAATATATTGATTACTTCAAAGTGGTCTGAAACAACTCATCAGATCTAAGTCAGCTCTACTGAAGTCTAACTCCTACTAGAAATTCCTGACCACACGGCCTGCGAACTATCGACCTTGTGCAAACACCAGGAAATGTACTGCTGGTGCCAACATGCACCCCCCGTACCCCCCACCCCTGTCAGGCTATGGTTTCCAAGCACAGCTGGTTCAGGGCAGCTTGTTCTCTATAATTCTCAGGGCCCGAACATTTCTTTCCTAACTATAACTTTAACAATTTTTACTTCTTTTGTGATAGTTCATGCGTGAGAACAATAAGCCAGTTGTCACCTGGGTCCGAATTAGGTTTTCACAGACCAATTTATAACTAACTTACCTCTGCATTAACCAAGAACAAAGGAGAGCATTAGCAGGCGTTGCCATGGAGACTCCCTAGTTCAGATCTTTGCAAAGTGCAAGAACTTCCTTCTGGGAAGTACAACTTTCCCTCTTGGGGGAAGCACAGGAACTCCCCGCTTCTCGGGAGTGTCCCCCAATGCCTAGACCATGTCAAGAGACAGCATGGGAGGCGCAGCCTGCCGCAAAAATGGGTGTTATTGAAATGAGGGGGAGGTTGGCCTGACTGTAGCTGAGAGCAGCAAGGGGGGGTGGGGCTCAGGCAAAGGCCAGTGGGTCAGAGGAAGGCAGAATTGGGGAGCCTGGGATAGGGGGAGGGGACTGGAGAGTGACAGGAGGGGGAGCAACCTTGTATCGGGGGCTCAAGAAGACATGGAGCCGGAATAAGAGCCGCAGGGGATCAAGCACTATTAGGCCCCACGGAGGCCCTGAGGACGGGGGAGACAGACCTCACCCACCCCTGGAAAGTACCAGAGGCCTCCGGACAGATCACAGACATGTGAGAAGTTGTTCCAGTCACTCATGCTAAGGGAAATGCAAGTGAAACCACAAGGAGCAGCAGCTCACGCCTGTGAGAACAGCCCAAAGAAGGACGGTGTGGGGAGGATGTAGGGAAACAAGTCGAGGCTGGAGGGGCGGGTGCTCGATAACACAGCGTCCAGCTGGGGGCCAAGGCCTCTCCGTGCAGGGCACAGGCAGACTTTGTTTCACCCCCAGGGGTATGACCAAGCCTCCTTCTCCAAGGGCCAGACCCGCTGCCTTCCTGGGCTCGGCCGCCTGCAGGCCGCTGTGCCGTGTCCCGGGGCCGGGACTGTGGCGCCAGGTGCCTGTGGTGGGCGAGGGGGGCATGGTGCCCTCAGACCCAGGCTGGTGAGTGATTTCTAGACGTGTGGGGTCACCCTGTTACCTTGGGCTGTAAAATTAAAGCCACGCTGGGGAAAAGGAAGAGCAGCAAGACGGCGGGGTATGCAGAGATGATAACACCTCAGCAAAGGGAGGCGGCTCTGGCACAGGTCAGGAGGGCAAGCTGGGGTTGAGTCCTGGCTCCTCCCTGAGAGCAGGATGAAGGCCCCGCCTCTCCCCTACCCTCTGCTTCCTCATTTGGACAACACCATATTCTTGACCTACTTTATGGGGTGATTTTTCAGACCAAACTACAAGTGCTCCTTATTTGAGAAGGCCCAACATGCTCTGTCTCCACCCAGAGCCAGAGGTGGAGCGATGTGGGTGACCAGGAGTCCCGTGGACATTTGTCCTGAGGAAACACTCCCTGGAAGGGCAGGTTGAGCTCCCTGGGTGTCCAGGCCCTCCATCTCTGCGGGCTGTGGCCATGCCAAAAGGTGCACAGCACCCAACTGTGAGGCCTCAGAGCAGGGCACCTGCGCCCTCAGGTCATTATCTGTGCAAGGGAGCCACTCTCCCAGCTGAGGGGAGGATTCAGGGAAGATGCCTGGAAGGCTCAGCCCAGAACCAGCTCCCCCAGCCCCATCCATGGAGGACGGAGCAGTAAGAAGCTCTTGCTGTCTCCCTCAGATGCTCCTCACTAGCTGGAGCTGCCTTTCCTGAAAGGCCTCTCTCTGGGGGAAGATGTGGCATTGAGTGTTAATAGCCAGGTTAGGAAACAGCTGAGTTCTCCCAGCCTCTCCCCCAGCCTGTGTCCATCCACTGGCCTGACACCAAGATGGGACTTCTCGTCCCGGTCAGCAGAACCAAAGCCACCATGTGTCCCTCCATGAGAGAGCTGGCCAGGGGGAGGGAGACACGGGGACAAGTGGGGAGCAGTGACCTCAGGGAACCCCCACCAGGTGCCATGCGAGCAGGGCCTGGACATGCACTCTGTGGGGGAGCAGCCGGAAGGCTTCTCAGAGGAGGCGATGTCAGATTTGGGCTTTGAAGGACGAGCACGGTCTGCAGGTGGTAGAAGCAGGGGCTCCTGAGTGGGAGCCGGGAGAGCAAACGTGGAGAAGCTTTGTGGGTGTGACCCCCAGCAGCAGCAGCGGGACATGGGACATGTCTGCCCAGGGCCTCTGGGCCTCAGGGGCAGTGCGAGTGCCCGACATGGAGGGAAATCAGGTGACCTGCTGGGAAGTGGGGAGGAGAAAGGAAGAAGGGGTAGGACACCACAAGGGGGGGACAGTCATGTGCTCAGGGTCCCACGGTCTGTCAGTGGCAGTTCTTGAAGAACAAGGCAGGAGGTGCTGAGCCAGTGGGGTCTGAAAGGTAGGTCTGGGGGTGCTCTTCTGGTGGGTCAGCAAGGCAGGGGGCACTGGGAGGTCAGTGTCCTGTACTGGGCGTGGTTTAATGTTTATTTGCCCGGATTTGCTGAATTTCGCTTTCTGTTTCCTTTCCTGTGTTCGTGCCCAGAGGTTGGGTCTGGTCGTTACACAGACTCACAGCCGGTGACTGGAGCTGCACCAGCGCCCCGTGTCTCCTTCCACCAGCCAAGGGTGGTCCCGGTAAGCTGGTTAAGGGGACCCTCACCCCACCTTCTCACCCTCCCAGCCAGCTTGTAGAGAAGGATCGTGGTCACCACTTCATAAACCAAGAGGAAAGTTCAGAGGTTGCGCAGGCGGCAGAGGCCGGCCTGCCAGATGCCTTCTCCCTCCCCGAGCCCCTGACCAGTAGAGGGAGGGGGACCGCTCAGAGGGGTCCACAAACCCTCGACCCCCCAGCAAATCCAGGTCTCTGACCCCTGAGAGATGAGCAGGTGACAGAAGGTGGTGCTGGGGTGCTCGTGCCTTTGTGGAATTTGGAGACACCAGAAAGGAGCAGGGATCCTGCACTGCTACCCGCAGCCTGGCCACCTGTGGACCCCGGGCTGCTGCTGCGGAGGCCCAGGGGGTAGAGACTTTCTGTTCAGACAGGAGGGATCAAGGGGTTTCTGAGACAGTGAACCCAGCGGTTGTGTCACCTACTCTGAGCCCCGAGTCTGCTGGGGCAGGTCCCCCGGGGAAACTGAGGCTCTGAGAGGGGGAGACTTGCTGGGCCCCAGCCTGGCAGAGCGAGCCAGGGTCATCTCAGGGCTCTGCCCCTGGCCCCTGCTGTGCATTGTGGGTGCAGATGGAGGAAGAGGCAGCCTGCGCCCACCACTGGGAAGAAGCCAGCAGCGGGTGAGGAAGCGCCAGGGTGATTCCCCGCGGGACCCTGTCTCTGTCCTCTCCGTCCGGCTGCAGCCCTGGCTGTGTGGTGCCCGAGGGTGCGCGTGGGTCTGCATGTTACACAGAAGCCTGGACACTGGGGTCTTCAAAGCACCTTTGCCCTAAACACCAGCACCCGAAGGCCCTGTGGCCTGCGCTCTGCCCCCCAGGGGAGGTGGCCCTGGGCCCGTCACCTCCAGGGAGATGTTTGTTCTAAACTGTTCTCTTAAAAAAAATGGTTTCCGTCTCGTGTGGGTGTGTGGGAGCTGTGCAAGCTTGCCTTTATCAGCTGAAGTGTCGCAACTAGTGTTTCCTGGCGTGCAACCAGTTTGTGGAGCCCTCGGCCGTGTTTAATGTTTTTAGAGGTGAACTAGATCAACGTTTCCCTTTATGGTTCTGGAATTTGTGCTTTGGTTGGAGAAGTTCCCTCAGCTCAGCGTCGTTGCAAGCATTTCTTCTGGTGTGTCTGTCGTGTTTTCTTTCTGTCTCACATTCAGATCCTTTTGGGATCAGCTGAGTGATTGATGGATCCATGGATTGCCAAGTGGATCGATTCCGTGGACGCTCTTTGTTTTGATTGATTCAGTCCAAGCTTTTCTGTTTCTTCTTTTCTCTCCTCTTCCTTCTAGCTCTGCCCCTCCAGCGTGTCCTGCTCCTCCTCCTGCTCCTCCTCATGCTCCTCCTCCTGCTCCTCCTCCTGCTCCTCCTCCTGCTCCTGCTCCTCCTCCTGCTCCTGCTCCTCCTCCTGCTCCTCCTCCTGCTCCTCCTCCTGCTCCTGCTCCTGCTCTTCCTCCTGCTCCTGCTCCTCCTCCTGCTCCTGCTCCTCCTCCTGCTCCTGCTGCTCCTCTTTAGCACAAATACAACCGGGTCTAGGACACTGCACATTCAAGGGCACCCTCCTCCCCCACCCTCCTCTCCTTCCCCCCTGGCTTCCACTGTGTCTGGAGAGCACAGTCAGCGCCTGTGTGATCAAAAAGGATCGAGATCTTTTTGTTGTCTCAGAGGAGCCTTCTGTGCAGTCAGGACATGACCCTCCCACCCCCTGCTCCTGGAAACATGCAGTGAGGAGGCGTGAGAAGCCTCGAGATGGACTCAGGAGCCCAGCTGTCCTTGGGGAGGGAAGACTCTGGAATGGCATTATTGCGATCGTCCAGGACTCATGTGTTCCGGCAGCTCTGTCTTCCTCTCTCTCCAAGACGGTGGTGCAGCGGTTGAGCGCTGGGTTGCGATGCTGCCCGCAGCCTCTGCAGTGCCGGTTCGATCCCCGGCTGCTCCCCGGCCACCAGAGGAGGGTCCCGCATGGCGCGCAGACCTCTCCTGCCGCCCGCGGCAGTGTACTTCGGTCCTTCTGCCTGCTCTGCTCCCCGCTCTGGCTCTGGTGAATTCTCTCACCCTCCCGCGCTTCTGACTGTACACAGTGCTTGTATAAATAAATAAATAAATCTAAAACAGTTTAAAAAAAAAAAAAAAAAAAAAAAATATTATGGCTGGAGTAAGACATGAGGAAATCAATGGAAACTCCCAGAAACCTGATAGAGCTATCAAAAAAATATTATAGCAGCAAGGTTATTTGTGTAAAAGCTGAGTCAAAGTCTTATTTGTGCTTGATTAGAATGAGTCTTTCATCTAGATCAGCATGAAAACAATTCCTCAAAGGGGGGTGAACAGAGGCCCCACTGTGTGGTCAGGTATTTCATGGATCAGGTAGATTGATTCAGGAGAAGCTATTTCATGGCCGGCTAATGGCTTCCCACCTCACACTGTCAGGCTGTGCCAGGGGGTAGAGTGGACCCTGGGAGGCACTGGAGCAGGAAGCTGGCAGAGCTGGCGTCTCACACCCACCAGCACAATCAGATAAGCTCATTGCCAGGTGCCAACCTGGGGACTGGAACTGAAGACCACGTTAAAATGTACACAACGAGGTGTTTTCTGTGATTGGCACAGAGGTTGTTTGGCTTTTTGAGGTGGTTGGGTGCTTAGCAGACTTTCTAAACTGGCATCAGGTGAGCTGAGTAAGTGGCAGGAAGTCCAGTGATGATGCAAACAGACTTGGCATTTGGGGGCTGGCTGGTCCTCTGCTGATTTCAGAGAAGACCTGTAAACTCCTGTCAGGTGAGCTGAGGTTTCCCTCAGGCACCTGTGTTGACCAAATCCAATCCGTCCTTGACGTAACTGACTCCATTCTAGTTTGGTTTTATATGGTGCCTCAGAGAATCCGCAGGATCCCTGGCGAGGTGCTCAGGGCTGAATGGAGACGGAACCGTCACACAAATGGAGCCGCAGCCAGGAGAGAGCAACATTCAAGGAGCCTGGAGATGATGGGGTTGTGGGTGGGAAGCTGGGGAGGAAGTTTTTGAGCTGGCCTCCAGCACAGGTAAATTTTCACAGTGCCAGGTAGGTGGGCAGCAGCACCCAGTGGGAGGGAGCAGGCTGAGCAAAAGCCCGGAGGCTGGGGTGATATCAGAGCACAGGAAACTGGCAGTCCACAGGTGTGTGGGGGAAGGCAAGCAGGGAGGGCGAGACACAGGACAGGGAGCCAGGGGAGGAGCTGCCCCGCCCCCCTTGGAGGGAGATGCCTGGTGAGAATCTCTGTTTTGCTGCCTCCAGAGAGCTTGGGCCAAGGAGGAGGGCGTGGGGCCTCTGTCTGGGCCGTGCGGTTGGGTAGGAGCTTCCTCTTGGGCCTCCCTGCTCCCTGCTTGTTCCCCCCACAGCCCTTTTGGAAACTGGTCACTCAGCAGCTAGACCAGGGGACACCCCACATACCAATCAAGCATTAGGGGAACAAGACTGGCATCCACACTGAGCTGAGACAGGTTTATGCCAGACCAAGAACGGCAGAGAAGACAGGGCAGGGAGGGAAAGACCGAGGGGCAGACACATTACACATGTCTGGTGACACCCGGGACCCGATCCTTTTCCTCGTGGGCTCTGCCGGCTCTGGTCCCGGGTTTCAGACCTCGGCCTGCCTGCCTGCGCACACAGACCCTTGCTTCGGCCTGAAAGGCAGGACAGACACGTCTAAGGCTCCAAGATTCTTCCTGTCTGCCGGGATCCACAGTGCACCTGCCTGGCCGGGGTGGTCGCAGCGCAGCCTCCCCACCCCCTTTCTACTGTCGCCTCCCGTGGCCCCAGAGCTGACACAGGGCTGGGCCCGCCAGGCCCTTGCAAGGCCGTGAGCCATGTGGGGTTGTCTGGACGTCCAGAATAACTGGTACATGTCCAGGGTGTGCGCGGGCTGCCTGTGGCGTGGAAGGTGAGAAAGAGCCTGCAGCAGCTCCATGGTCCTCACACACACGAAGCCCCACGGGCAGGCCCGTTCCTCACCCGCTCAAGAGGACTCCAGACTAGACCCCCCAGGGCGCCCCGTGGACAGCAGTGAATTTTACATCAGGATGATGAAAATCATCAGCGAGATGCATCGAGTTCATTCTGACGCGGGGTGAAGCTTCAGGGAAACAGGACGGCCGGGCGGGAGCCGGGGGCGAACAGCCGTGTTCCACCTGCACAGTCCAGTGAGCGAATGAAAACCTCCTGGAAAACAGCAAGATTTTGCCAAGGACCTAAAATAATCAATATTCACTGTCTTTCCTCCTGTCCCGACACAGGATAGTCACAAGCAGAACTAACAGAAAAAATATACACATAGAGAGAGCAACCTCTCGCTCTCGGTGTATGATTTTTTAATCACTGGGACCCGGTAAGGCTGCCGGGAGGGACACCGCACACAGGGTGGGACTGTGAATCGGTAAAATGTATTGACATAGCAGTGTGGCTCTAGGTTTGAGAATGTTTATATGTTGCTGCCCCCTGACCCCGTCACTACTTCCAGATGCCTTAAGTGAATAATCCCCATGAGGGCAAAGTTCTGTACAAGGGGAGCACTGTGTGCAATTATTGCAAAAAATGAAAGTCTCCGGAGGAGGAGGGAGAGGGAAGTTCCTCAGGAGGCCAGGGCTCCCCACCCTCCCACTCTGCAACAGGGCTTTGGGGAGGGGTTCAGGGAGGGCCCCAGGGAGGGAGGGCCCTGGAAGCAGGAGGACTGGGCCTTCCCAAAGCTGTGACCCAGGAAATAGACCCAGAGGCGGGGCCGGGGTGCAAGGCCTCACTGAGGAGCCAGAGCTGCTTCCAGGTGACACCCACTCCGGTGGGTGGGTCACAGGAGTGCCACGGTCTCCCCAACACGGGGCTGGGGTCAGTGAGACTTGGGTTCAGCCCGATCGGCCCGACTGTGGCAACCTGGGCTCAGGGTCCCTTGGGAGCAGGAACTGCCTGCTCCTTGGCTCCACTTTGATGTGGAGGCAGGTCGCCCCTCCCTGTTGAAAGTAAAGTGAAGGAGGCCAGGCTAAGTTTCCCACAGGCAGGAACTTTATTGCATCCCTGGGTGAGGTTTGCCGACCACCAGGGGGGTCGAAGAAGTCGAGTTGTTGTGCCAGGGAGATGTCCTTTTATAGGGTGAGGAAAGGTTAGGCGGGAAACTGGGTATGTGGAACCAAAATTGGGTTTTTTTGGTGGTTTCTGGTTGATTGCTGCCAGGTCCTGTTTGTGTCGGGTGGAGGCCTCTGGCTCCAGGAGCTGAGGCAAAGGTGGAATCCCTCTGTGGTTTCCAGGCCCCTCCTTGTGCCTGTGGCCTGGTTTCCTCACCAGGCCTCCTGCACCGACTTTACACCCATCAGTGGGGACCCCGAAGGCCTCACATCACAGACACCCCCCTCAACATTAAGTGTTAGCCATGAGCACAGCTGCTTTCACCTCAAATAACTTCCAGAACCTTCTGTCCCACCCTTCTTCTGGGTTCGCTGTGACTGCTCTATCACTCTCCGGTGGCCTCCTTGGTTGGGGTGTCTCCTCCGGGTGGCCCCCCACCGCTACCTTCACCCCTGGATGACAGGATCTGACTTGGCTTGGCGTGAGCTGCAGGGAATTGAGAAACTCTCTAGACAGCAGTAGCCGGGCTCAGGAGACAGAGAAACACCCCCCAGAGAGAAGCACAGGGCGGTGTTTCCTGGTGCTCCTGCGGCCACAGCTGGCTAACGCCCAACCATGGTTTGTCTTCTTTCTCTTCAGGGTGAAACAACCTTTTCCTACCCGCACGCTGACTGCTGAGCTGGCAGAGCAGCCCTGAGACCCCGCGGCCGGCACCATGGGCACTAACGTCAGCCATGAGGAGGACGCAGGTAGTCAGACTCTTCTTCTCTGTTCCCACTGGGCCCGGAATTGGGGGTGGTGCCTTTGGGCTGAGTTCACCTCTAGGGTATAAAGAACTGTGAAGGGGATTGATTCGTGGCCTGCAGCCCCAAACAGGTGTCCAGGTGAGCCCCCCACCCCGGGTCTGTGGGGGCATCTCCTCCCTGGTCCCCTCCTCCAGGTGCCATGGCAACCTGCTCCCTCCCTCACTCCCCAACACCCATCCAAGGACCAGAAGAGAAGCCAGGACAGTCCTCAGGAATGTTGGTAAACAGTAGAGGGGAGAATAAAGGGGCCCCAAGGCAGGTGGGGAGGACAAGAGAGAGCAGGTGCATCAGCAGCCCGGGGGCCTTCTCCTCTGGCCCTTATCCTAGCTGCCTGCCGAAGGGCAGGATCTGGAAGACCATCCCATCCTCTGCGGGCGTTTGCAGATCTGACTGGACCCCGGTCTGGTCTCAGCTCCCTCCTACCTGCGTGACCTGGCGCGCCTGACCCCACTCACCTGTCTTGGGAGAGTCACTCCCTGCGCTCCCTGGGATCACACATGGATACATGTGGCCTGTTCTGGGCCTACCCGCACCATGTAGCCTCAGTGTTTGTCCTGTCCCCGCCGTCTGAGTGTGTGAGTCCAGGTGGAATCGCCCCGTCCCCAGCACCTTCTCCGCCCGCGGCTTGTTCGAGCCCCCGTGCTGTCTGCCGGGTACACACACCCGAGACCCAGCACCCGCCCACGGCAGGGTCTCCTTTCCTCTCAGAGACCCCCGCAGAGCTCGGCTCTCAGATCTCCCTCCTCTGCCCTCACCCCATCAATGAACACACAGGCGAGGGGCTGTGGTGCCCTCCGTCCAAGCCCTGGTTTCCTTCTCCCTGCAGTGCAGCAGCAAAAATAGAATAAACAACCCTCCCCCTGCAAAATGAACACGCAGTTTCCTCAATCCACTTTCCCAGGGCTCCCCCCTCACTGCATTGCCCTGGCTAGCAAGTCAGACCCGCCCATGCCCCACCCAGCAGAGCAATTGCTCTGAGTCATGCTGGAGAGGAGGGTGGGAAGGTGTGGGGATCAGAAGCAGAGCTTCCCAGCAGGCGGGCTCCTTGCCTGGGGGCCAGGCTGGGGGTGCCTCAGGACAACCCCCCTAGGAAGGGAGATGGTGTCTTTTTGACTAGGCGACCAGCTGGGTTCAGATGTGCCAGTGGGGAGCTGAGTCCTGTGACACCAGCCTGGGGGAGAGGAGGGGCAGGTGGACCCCAGGGTCAGAGCCCAGGGTCTGTCCCCTCTTCCCTGCAGCCCCCCACCCCAAACCCCTCTTGAGGCCTGTCTTGAGGCCTTGACTAGCAGGAGTCCTCTCTCACACGAGTTTACTCAAGGCGGGCCCTTTGCAACGTCAGGTTTAATTACAATAGCAACAGCATCCACACACATGTTTACAGGGTAGGATGCAGACATGACAGGAGTTATTTTAAATACAAGGAGGCTTCAGAGTCAAACGCCAAAGACATGGCTGACCCTTGACCTGGGATTCAGTTCTGCCTTCAGCTGGCGGCTGTGGGCGGTCGCTTGTCTGAGTCTCACTCTCGTCTCCTGTGAAGGAAGATCACATCTTGGTTCATGTAGAGCAGGAGACACATTTCACATATGCTCCTGGACACGCCTGTGTGTACCAGTCCCTGGACTCCATTTGCAATCCTATAATCTCCAATCCCCGAAAACCACCCCTCCTTTTGTAGCTCAGTGGGCAGTCGTCTTGCCTCAAGCAGGCTTCTGACCTGAGACTGTTCACAGTCGTCACATTATTTGTCCACTGGATGTGCGTGTTCCCTGGTTTCACTGTGAGAACTCGGGCGCGTGTGTTCTGGGTGCTGTCCTCACCCTGCTGGAGGGGTGAGTTATGTGCAGTTTCAACATGTATTCTCTTTCTAAAGGATAAAAACATCTGTATTATAAAACATATCTAGATGCCAGAATTTAGATAATAAATTCAGGAGGTTGGAGATCCAAGAGCAAGGTGCTCCAGGGTTGATATTCCTGGTGAGGCGCTCCCTAGTTTGCAGATGGTGACTTCTCTGTCCTCACAGCGCTCTGTGTGTGTAGAGAGAGAGAGATCTGGTCTCTTCCTCTTGCAAGGACACAGTGTTTTCAGACGAGGGTCCACCCCATGACTTTGCTTAACGTCATCTACCTCTTGGAACACCCCATCTCCAACTATAGCCACTTAGGTGTCAGAACTTCAACACACAAACCTGTTAGGGACACAATTGAGTCCATAACACCAGGTGACACCATCCAAAGGACCCAGGTGACAGCTGTTCAGGAAGATTATCACTGACCCCTGAGACTCAACACCAGTTTCTCTCCACCTCAACCACCTTCTTTGTTTTTTCTATCTAGACAGCAACAGCTCTCTTGCGAATACCCCTGAGGATATCCTGAAAACAATGAGCGGTGAGGACCTTTACAGGCTGCTGACTGACATTAAAACCTGGGAGGCATTTGTGGATGAGAAATTGTTGTCCAGGTAACCTCCATGGGGTGTCCCAGGAATGTCACCCAGATGTCTCTCACTGGGCTGGTTTCCTCCTAGCAGGCACACCTCCTCCAGGCAGTACCTTGTGATTGTGGTTAAGGATGTTCCTCCTTAACAATCCATGAGGACTGTGTTCTCCATGCCATTTGCTGGCAGTGCATGGCACTGGGTAGGAAAGAGATGAAGTCTGCAGTGAGCATTAGTGTGACCTTGGCAAGTGACTCACCCACTCTCTGCCTTAGTTTCTTATCTGTTCAATGTTGTTGTGAGGAAAACAAGAAAATGAAGGTAAAGCTCTTAGCATAATGAATGACCCATAGTAGTGCACAGTTAGTGTTCACTTTTTGTAAGCTTTCTGGAAAGAAATAGGGCCTAAAAGCCTTCTTCCTAGAGATAAGAGCCAAGCAGGATTTCCTTTGGAACAACTCAAAAAGTATTGCCACAGTCAGGTGTGTTCCTGGGGACTGTGGCTGCAATCCCCAGGAATTCTACAAACACTACAGAAACCCTCTATACTGTAAGGTAGAAAGGCTGGAGCAGAGTTGGGCAGAGTTGGGTTAGGGCCTGATCTATTCCTTGCCAGCTCTGGGGCTCTGAGCTTAATCCTGGGTGTCTCAGATTTGTAGTCTGTCCAAGGACAAGAGCAATTCCGTCTGATAGGATGGTGGTGAAGGCCTTAAGGCGGACTGTGTGGTCAAGAGTGGGGAATCAAACACAATCATCTGGTCCAATGGTTCTTTCCTCCCTGATTTGATCCTCTCATTGCTGGGCATGGGGAATAGTAGGTGATTGTTTCCTCCATAATCTTTCTGGGTGGCTGAGGGGAAGTGTTGACTGTTATTTGGAAACCTCTTCTATTCTGTATAGAGCAGCCCCTCACCCATGGGAAGGCAGTGTGGCCCAGCGATACTTCCATAGTCAGCATGTGAGGCTGCCAACTTTGTGTAATTTGAAGGCTGCTGAGGAGACTGCCTCGCCCCCTCCAATGAAGAAAGGAATTCCTCACCTACTCCAAAAGCAGGACTTTCAGACTTAGTGATTCTGACAGATGGGTTTTTACATCCCCTGGCTTGTTAAGAGGCTCTACAAAGTTGCACATGGCCTGGGTATGTACACAAAAATAAAACTGTCAGCAGCTAAGGTGTGAGTTAGGCTGGTGACACTTGAAAGTTCAGGGATGGTGGGTCAGAAGTCAGAGAGGCCTCTGGAGAGGGCAAGAAGAATCACAGTTAGTAGAAAATATCCTGCTTCCTGTCATTTGGGGACATGACTTGACCTAGTGACCTTCGACTGAGAAGATCAAAGGGCATCAAACTTGGAGGAGAGTAGATAACAGGCAAAATGTTCATTATTGTCCCTTCTGGCTCTGATTTATTTTTTCATTCTAAGTATCCAGTGTGCCAAACTCCCATGACTGAGGGTACAATCCCCCAAACTGAACTTTTCACACCAACTGCAAATTTCAGGGTACCCAACCACTCTCAGTTTCAATAATTCCCTAGAAGAAATCAGAACTCACTGACAGCTGCTATGCTCACAGTTACAGTTTATTACAAGGCACAGATACTTGTAAAAATCATGAAAGGGAGAAACACAGAGTCTAGGAGCATTTGAAATATTGTCATTTGTCCTCAGGAGGCGTTACTGTGCTCCTTGAGTGTGTGAAATACACGTGGAGTATAGCCAACCTGTGGAGCACACCCTGTTAAAGAAAAACATTATCCTGACACTTGTTAAAACAGTACAACAGAGTTTACTCAGGACTTTTGTGAGAGTGTCAGGAGCATAGTAATTGATGAGAGAGACTAGGCTGAATACAGCAAAACAGGTGAGACCTTTTTAGCCAACAAGGCGAGTGAGTAGGTGAGTAGAAAATCACTAGAGGGGACATCAGGAGTAGGAGGATTCTTGCTCAACAACAGGACTCTTGCTAAAGACGGGCAGGAGAAAGACTTCTACATGAGAAGTGGAGGAAATGTAGCCTCCAGCCACTCCCAGGGGTCAGGAGAGATACCACAGGGCCCTAAGCCCTCATCAGATATCTCAGTGCTAGACAGATCAGTGACCAAGGGCACAGAAGTGAAGACATTTCTATCAATCAGGACATTCCTGAGACGTCAAGATCAAGGTCAAGGGCAAAAGGCAGGGTTGTCTGTGGGTCAGCTCAATTCTTCACTGCACACTCAGATTCTCTGAGCAAAGTTGTTTCTGCTCCAATTCTACTTCTCTTCATTCTTACTCTACAAACACCTGCTGTGGTGATGGTATTGACCTTCCCTTGAGCAAATACTTGAGCATCTTAAAATGACTTTTACTTATTTATTTTCTGATTGAATAAATACTGGGAAGCATCTATAATGTTTGAAATATTTATTGTTGATCAATAAATTCTTTAACCTTGCAAAGTTTTCCACTTGACGTATTGTAAAAGCTCTGTAATTTCTAAAGTTTAGACTGTAGTGAGTATTGATTCCATTGTGCACATAAGCAAATTGCCTGTTTTTAGCACCTGACTTTCATTATTACAGGAATGAAGCAGAGGAGATATATGAAGCTCTGAGTCGTCTGATAACAGACCTAGCCACGGAAGATAAAAAAGTGCAGGAGTTTAGGGAGCGGTTTCTGAGATCATATCCTCAGCTGAAACAGCAGCTTAGGAATGACGTAGACCGGCTCCATGAACTTGCAGTCAAAGCAGACACGATTCACAGGAACTGTACCATCTCCAAAGTAGTTGCCGACTCCACTGGCATTGTGTCTGGCATTCTGACCATCGCTGGCTTGGGTCTGGCACCAGTGACAGCAGGGGCCAGTCTGTCCCTGGCAGCAGCTGGGGTGGGACTGGGAACAGCATCTGCTGTGACCACTGTGTCCACCAGCGTCTTGGAAAGTGTGAGCATGTCATCTATAGAAGCTGAAGCTAATAAATGCTCAGCTGGAAGCAATTTAGAGAATTTGCTCAAGGAACTTCTATCCAACGCAGGTTCCATAGGAGGTAAGCTTTACAATGGCTTGAATAACATTGGGAAGATCAACCGTGTTATCAAGCTGGTCAAATCCCAGCCTCATCTAGCGGCCCGTGCTGCACGCTTCGCCTCTGGTGGAAAAGTGTCTTTTGAAACCACCCGTCAAGTCAGGAAAGCTTTTGGAGGCACTGCTCTGGCGATGACAAAAAGCGCCCGGATCTTCGGTGCAGTCACTGCTGGCATCACTACTCTGATGGACGTGGCCAGCCTAGTGAAAAACGCAAAGGAATTGCAGGAGGGGGCAAAGGCACCATCAGCTGAAAACCTGAGGCATCAGGCCCAAGAGCTGAAGAAGATGTTGGAAGTGCTGAGCCAGATCTATCAGAGTCTATCTAGTTCCTGACTCTGCGACCCCCAGGACCATGAAAGGAGCGGGGACTTGTGTTGGACGAGGTGTGGTGGTACCTTGCTCGAGGGGAAAAAAGCACAAAATGAAGTTTATGGACTGGGTGTTAAGGAGTTTGGCAATTCTGTAGCTGAGTGAGTCAGAGTAGGATTGATGAAGCTGGCATGTGAAAAGGCAGGAACACAGCTTGGAATAAGGGAGGAGCCTAGAGGGAGGGGGATAAGGAGAACCATTTATTTTGGACTGAACAAGACGGGGGGCAAGAATAAAGTGGGGTGAAGGAACAGGCAATGGGAAGACCAGTAACTTACAAAATAGAAGATGAGAGAAAGTTGAAGAGTTGAAATTGTTGGGATACGGGAAAGCAACAGCAGCTCCTCTGTTAACCCTCCCCGTGGTCTGACATGCTAGAAAATATGGCCTGACCCTCGTTTTAGTGTCTGCTCCCAGCTGTCCAGTGTGAATGTATTTTTGTCTCCTAGCAGCTTTACCTTGATTAGTAGTGACCTCTGGTGGTGGTGGAGGTTGTGGTGGTGAGAACAGCAGATTGGGTGGGAGAATGGTCAATCACTGGTGCTCTTTGGAACCAGGTTGTCCTTGGAGACAACTGAGGACAGTGAAATTCCAAAGGCTGTGTTGAAGCAGTGACTGATTTTGTTTTTTTTTTAAAGGAGCGGGGTGGAGAATGATACCAGATGCCAGACAGGGCCAAGGAACTTGATGTGTCTCAAGATCAACCATCTTTGATCAAGAGCTACACATCTCTGAGCCTCAGGTTCCTTACCCATCGGGGGAATTGCTAGCAAAGATGATAGTTCATGACTGTCTGTTTCTCCTCCACTTGCACTTTATAGACTGCTTCAATAAATCTGGTGATACCCTGAGACTTTGTTGTGTTGATGGTCTTCCTTGGGTGTTGGATTGACAAGTGGTACGTGAGGTCAACTAGGGGCAGAAGGGCTTGTTTGCAGGTGTGAGAGAGCGTCACCAATAAAAGAAGGGACAGAGAGAGACAGCTAGACAGCAACATCCTCACCCCAGCGACCCTCTCCCTTTACTAAGGCTCTTACAAGGCATTCTGGGAGGGCCTCCCTGTGTTGACGCTTGTGGTACTGCCCCTGCCCATTCCCCACCCTGGGCCAGAATAACCCTCAAGTATCTCCTTCTAACTCTTCAATGGCTTCATATAACTCCTAGCACCAAAGCCCCCCTTATTCCAGGATAAAGTAGCCTATTCCAGCTTGCAGTTCCCTGAAAGCAGAGGTGCAAACAGGCACAACCAGGGGCAGGACTGGGGAGTCAAGCAACAGAGGAGAATTCAATGTGAGAACATATTCTTGATGTGGTCACCCCTGTGGGTTACTGAGACCTTCTGAGGAGCCTTCACGGAGTCCTCGAATTCATTCTCTCCAGAGCGGCACTAGAGAAGCCTTTGACCATCTCGCCCACCTCCCAGTGGTGAGGGAGGAGCTTCCTCTGGTGGACATTAATTTCATGTATTTCCATTTGTGGAGCATGTAAAGGCCAAACATTTGCCCATGACTAGAGCCTGGGTAGGAAGCAAGATTCATACAAAATTATTCCAGAAAATTTCCTAAGTTACTCACACAGTACATCCAGTGCTGAAGTCCTTTTGCATATACCGCCTTGCAAGAGACTTATCAGGCCCCTAACACCCTGTCAGTGAGTGTTCTCTGAGGCCTGCACATTGAGTCTTGCATTTCTTCCTAACGACGTCAACAGTCATGGCCACTCCCTCGCCTGATCACCCAGTGTGTTACACTTCTTGGGCAATTCTTAATCAATTTTCGAAAATTCACATTCATTCAAGATGTCACATGGACATTGAGTGTTTTAGGCCCTCAGTAACTGAATGACCTGTCAACCCTTCCCCCCCTTGAGTCCTTAGAGTAGAATTCCATTTTGCTAAAGGTGCATTTCATGAGTCTGGTTCAGAAGAACAAAAAGAGGATCCATGGGAAGAGAAACAGGAAAGCTCAGAGCATAAAAACATACTCAAAATGTACACAGTTTAGAGAGGACAGGAAAAAGAAGGGTCCGTCCATCTTTAGCTTCTGACGATCTGCCCTTGAGGGCCAGCCAACAGCTGGCGTAGATCAAACACACGGAATCGGCGGTCTCCGAAATAGAGCCCCTCCCTCATCTGGTTTGCTCCACCTTGAGTTTGAATGTGACAAGTCTGGGATTGCTCAGGCCTTTTCTGAATTCTCTTCATGCTTGGCCAGGCTGCCAGAGCCCACTCTTCTGGATTTCAATGATGTCCTCGGGATCTGTGCTCGTCCACGTGTGGCATGGTAGTTCTTAATCAGGACTAATACTCTCATTATTTGGTTTAGGCACTCGGGAGTATCTAGGTGTCAGATTTTATTAGGAGGACTTGTGGAGGGGCGAGGGAGGAGGGGCGAGGGAGGAGGGGCGGGCGCGAGGGGAGATCTGAAGCACAGAGCATAGTGGAGCAGCAGGCACAGAGAGAAGAGACCATCTGCTGCACCACATGCGCTCTAGCTCCATGCCCCCTTACGGGGGCAAACTCCCACGCTCCTTGCGGGTAGCTCCCTGGCCGGGGCTTGAACTCAGGCCGCAGCGGTGAGAGCGCTGAGACTAACCCCTAGGCCATCCTGGAGGCCCCGCAAAGGGCTTAGTTAAAAGGAGCCTTTAACCTTTATTAGGGGGCTTCAGGAGAACTACTGACAGCTGCTTCTCCAGCAAGTCAGAAGAGACTACGGCTGCCCTTCCCTTCCCTTCCCTTCCCTCAGTGATCATCACTGTTTCCTCCTAGGGCCCGTGGGCGCTGAGGGAAGATGGCTTTCAGCGGCACCTCCATGTCTTCATCGGTGACAAGAGGGGGCAAAGTATGGGGATTTTTCAATTCTAAAACAAGTATTTTTCATTGATGAATCAGAAGAAAAACCTACACAGTTCAGAAAGTCATCAGGATTGTACTGATCCTGAAAGATTTCTTTGGTGATCATGTGTAAAATCAATATTTAGAAGTTTCTAGAGATTTAAGTATGCAGACTTCTGATGTCCTCATAGAATAATGAATGCTCTTAGCGAGCTGAAAAGACTCAAAAAAAAAAAAAAAAAAAAAACAAAGTAAATAATCCAGTCACAAAAATGGGCAGAAGAGCTAAAAAGAAACTTCTCCAAAGAGGAAATGCAAATGGCCAACAGGCACATGAAAAAATGTTCAACATCACTTGTCATCAGGGAACTGCAAATCAAAACTACCATGAGATACAATCTCACACCAGTGAGAATGGCACATGTTAAAAAACTAGCAACAACAAATGTTGGCGAGGGTGTGGAGAAAAAGGAACTCTCCTGCACTGCTGGTGGGAGTGCAAACTGGTCCAGCCACTATGGAGAGCTGTGTGGAGATTCCTCGACCTACTAAACATAGAGCTTCCATAGGATCCAGCAATTCCACTCCTAGGTATTTACCCAAAGGACACAGAAACATCAATTCAAAAGGGCACCTGCACCCCTGTTTATAGCAGCACTGTTTACAATAGCTAAGATAGGGAAACAACCCAAATGCCCAAAAATAGATGACTGGATCAAGAAGATGTGGTGCATATACACCATGGAATATTACTCAGCAATCAAAAAAGATAAACACATGCAGTTTGCAGCAACATGGATGGCGCTGGAAGGGATCATGCTGAGCGAAATAAGCCAGAAAGAAGACGAAAAACACTGGATGGTCTCACTCATAGCAGGAATTTAGAAACCAGCAAAGCACCTGTAGTCCATGACCTTAGTCTATCCTTTGCACTTGTTTTCTTCACGTTGTATAGAAGCAATGGATTAAGTAGAAGAAGCCATACATTTCTGGGCATTAAAGAATAGTTTGAGTGGTTGTTCAGAATCATCTTGGAAGGTGCAGTGATTTATCTCTCCATATCCTCCAGATATTTCTTAACTCGTAAGTGTCTTCTAGTACCATTGTCTCTTCTCCCATCAGTATACATTCTGTTTGCCTTCCTTGCTCCTAGAAGCTGCCCAAGGACATATGACAATATTCTAAGATCTTTCCAGGCCCTCCATGGATGGCAGTGGTTTCAGATCACACTTAAAAAATCTCCTGAGGTTGTGACCAGAGATTCGTCCATGGTCGCTGCTCTCACAGACGCGAGGGCTCTGGAGCGGCGCTGGCAGGGGCGATGGGGTCCAGCACAGAGGACGGAGGCAGCTGCCCGGGGTCCGGGAGTCTCCTGGCCAGAGCCCGCCACACGCTGCCTCAGGGCGCCGCAGCCTCCGGAGACACCGAAACTTCCGCACGGGCTGGGGCGAGGCCGTGCCTGCCTCCTTCTGACTTTCTAATCTATTTCTCTCTAGGCAACACCTGACTGACACCTTGTCACCACGGTGAAAAACACACATCTAGCATGATGCATGCACACATTGTATATAAAATATATTACAGAATTACAGAGAAATGCAATCATGCAGCATCATTCCAGGACTGTGTGTGTGTGGACTGATGTGATGGGACAGACTCTTCTCTTCCCCGCACAGTGCTTCTGAGTGTCCTTTCCACCATGTCAGTCATTCATTTTTTTAATAGTTAAATAACACATGGCTCTGCGGCGTTTTGTTTAATCCTGCTGGAGACATTTGGGTTGTTTCTGCTCTCAGACCACCATGAATCAAAGTCTACTATGGGCTCCCCTCCTCTGCCACCCAAGATTGGTGCTCACCTCATAAAGTGGACACCTCGCCAAGTCGAGGATCTGAACCCCAGAGAGAAGGGATACCGGTGGTGCCTCAACAGGATCCAGAACCCCCTCCCGCAAACACACTGAGACAGGCTGGACCCACCATGCCCCACCCTGCCTGTCTGGGCACCTACAGAAGCCAGGAAAGGACAAAGGACCTGAGACCACAGCGCCACCTGCTGGCAAAGGAGAAGAAACTCACATAATTAAGTTGCTTATCCAGATATTTTAAAAAATTTATTATTTTCATTAATGCAAAAAATGAGAAGTTTAAAGTAGCAAAATTATCAGACAACTTGAATCCTCAAGGAAATGTGACATCACAAGCAGAGAACAACTCTCCAGAATCCAATACTATATATACATGGGGGATTGTATTTCATTATTAGAAAGGTCAAAATTGCTGTTATAAGTCTGGCAAGTAGGTGGCAGAGTGGAGGTGGCTGGGCTTGCCTCCTCCACACATTGACAACCAAACTGTAACTAAACAAAGTCAACAACCTCTGAAAGATAAATGCGGGACCATCACATGCACCAAGAGCAGCTGCACGGCAGAAAGAGGTAGGACCAACTGTAACGGAACTGTGTTTAGGGTGAGTGGGGTGGTCCACCCCGTGAGAGGAAGGGTAACTGCTGTACCGAGCACCTCTGCTGTTCTTGACTTGGGTGCACGTCCACATTTGGGGACTTCAAAAACTAGGCATGACATAGCAGGGGGTGCACGGAATTGGTGTGCTGATCCCACCACACAGCATGGGCACCTACAGAATTACAGGAAGCTTGAGTGTGCACCCAGAAGAATCCTGGGAATAGGATTGCTGGCTTTCGCCTGAGATTCCTAAGCTAGAACTACTGTAATCCAAACAGCTGATAGAGCGCATCGCACTGGCTGTGCATCCTCATAGACAGGCTACTCTTTGCAGCTGGAGGCTCTGGTGTTCGAAATACCTGCTTTCCCCCCACGCAGGGCCAAACCCAAGACAACTGTGTGCTCTCATTAACCAGCGTTTAAACACCCGGCTCTTAATAACAGAAGCAAGTGTTCCAGGGTCAAGCTTCACACTCAAATCCAAAGACAGCAATTCCTGACTTGTGGCACTGGCTCTCCAGCCCTCACCCAGCTCTACATCTACTCCT